CTCCCCTGCATGTCTGAGAGCATCTGACAGGACTACCACACAAGTAGTTTTTCCTCTCAAGCTACAAGAGACTGCAGCAACCTGTTAGGTGCCACCCAAAGCCATTATACGAGGGGTACTCAAAAGTAACGGAACTCTAACCCCGTGTATAAATGCTTTCTAGTTGAGAATCACGGTGCTAGGTATTGCTAGCATAGTTTTATACGTCAGTGTGCAAAAGTGATATAGCTCTATACTCCGTTTCAGAGACAGCATTCAACGCTCTCAAGGATACTGGCACAAGCACGAGACTTCTATTAACGATTCATTTGGACATGTTTTCGTGCAAATTAAATGTTCAATATAGCCAAGCTCTCGTGCCAATATCTTTGACAGCATTGTACACTGTGTATGGAAAGAAGTGTAGCGTAAAATATTGAGCAGGCACCCACAAAACAGTTGAAGATATTCGCAAAAACATCAAAAAGGACAATTGTTACGTCCGAGAGCAGAAAAACAGGGAGGGCCCAAGGTAGGGTAGGCGCCTTATCTATAGTATGCACCCTTTTTACAATATAGCCATAGTCTGGCAGAACCCCGAATTTTTAAAGCAGCAACAATGCTCCACTTCAGCTGAAGCTCTCGCATCAAGCTTTACCGCATTGCACCGTCACACGCGTGCAAAGTTTTGTCGCTTTGCAACGGCTTGTCGAAAAAACAGCCAAAGCAGAGGAGCACTGCGATTAGCTCGGTGGACTCTGCTCGGTGGGAAATTTTCAAAAACTATTTCATGCATTTGCCACTGGCTGCCACTTTTACATTGAAATGATTTGTTATTCAAAAATGCAGAAACTTTTCTGAGAAAAGCCACCAAACCTACTTCCACTACTGCCGGTGTGGCATGGTTGGAAGCCAAGCTCTCATCCACGAGGGCCGTGTCATTCAGGGGGAGGGACCCGAACAGTCGGTTCGGGTCCCAGAAGAAGGGCCACTTTATTGCGCCGGACCCCGGGGGGGTCTCCTCCCTCAGATCTTTACTCAAAAATGAATTGCAGTGAGTGGCAACTTTATGGCAAAGCTGTTCATGTATGTGCGACACCCAGTATAACAAACAGTTTTCCGGAGCATTCTCAGAATAAAGAGGTAAACACATGCTGCTGGCTATATTGTGCTTACATACATAACCAGAAGCAGTGGCAGTTTAGCATTTGAATGATATGAGATTGTACCACATCAGATTATGGGACCTATAAACTAACATTTAATGAGATGTAGTATTCCTCCATCCTGCCACTTGTTTCAAGTGCGATAATGCGTGCCAAGGTGACAATAAAAAGATTTCCTGGATTGGAATTAAATTAATTTTACTTAAGTGACTGAAGCTCGCAAGTAGTTATTCTTTATCACTAGATATATATTTTAAACACGGTAGATTCATTGATCACTCTGTCCGATCACTGAACGCAGTACAGAAAATTACCCTAACCTTCAATTACTCATGGATTAACAACTTTTAACTTATGTAAACTGCACCGTAGAAGAAACAAAAGTTGATCTTTGTCTAGCTAGTGAAAAAGCCTTCTTATTTTTTTTTTCGCGTTGTCATGCTTGCAATAAGACATTACTATTTTAGTTTTAGTTTCCTTTCTTCCGCATTCTGAAATTTTCTTGCCATAGGTCGTTCGTTCCGTAACTGACTAACGAAGTGGAAAGTAGAACTCAAGCCCAGCGCTCCGATTTTTCCACAAGAGCACCGTGGTCATGTTCAGCCTGGTCTAAGTCGCTCTTGCTTGATGTTTTGATTTAAATACAATCGCATATAAACAGTAGAGAGGAAATAAAAATATTTTTGGGACATATTTCTTCGCGGAAGAGGGTTGATTTAAATCATCATAGCAAGATCGGTCTAATCCCGGTTGAAAATTTTGGAAGTCGGAATTTTCTTATTGGTACCAATTGGGTTTTTGGACAACCAATTGGTCACTGCTTATGGGAACCATTTGCAACAGATTCAACTTCCAACTGGAAAAATAATTCCTATTTGTGAGACCCATTGGCCAGTGTGCTTCCAGTTCAAATCAATTGGAATTCCGATTGGATTTAATGGGAATTTTCAACTGGGATATTTACATCACGATTGAAATCATGATTTAACCCGCGGTTTAAGTCATCTGAGTTTTTATTTTCCGCCCTGACTCATACTACTCTCAGGGTGCATGCAACTTTACAATAATCTTAGCGGTACGTGTTGGACAGATTTTCTATCTTGTGGTGGACCTGGTCCTTGGTCCTGACGATACCGTAAGGGAGCAGCTCCTCGGCAATCTTCCCGTAAACGCCTCCGTTACGCTTGGCGCGTCCGAGGTCTTCCATCCTGCCCTCCCAGAGCCGGATCAACTTCCAGGTCTCCTGGGAAGTCCACACGACGCGCGGTTCCCTCTTCTTCGCGGCCGAAGGTCCCGCTCCGTTCGTCATGGTGTACACTTCGCGCCCGTTCTTAAAACGACTTAAAACACAATGAAATATATACGTACAACAAAAATATTATATATATATACAACGCAAGAATAAAAGACTATGAAACGATGATAAAATATTTAAAAAAGAAATAGAAGATGAGAAGGATAAATGGCAAAAGGGATGGGAATGCTAAACAACCTATGTAAACGAGCGAGCAGACAACGGATAGTTTAGGCTCATACTGGACAACTGAGACCGCGAATATATTAAACAAATATATCGGAAAAGGTGTGCGAGATATACACGTTATAAGCTTTTTTTTTCTAAAAATAATTGCTACAAGCATTGTTTTCAATTGTATTTATATTATTTATAATGTTTTATTTCAATTCGCGGAACTTGTGCTGACCGCTGTCGACGAGACTACACATTTACGAGCCGTAAATGAGTTTGGGAGAATTAAATCGAGCTCGAATGTCATTTAATGAGAGAAAAAAAGAAAAGGTTGTTTTGGTGAGACTGCCGAACCGCTTTTCCTTCATCCTCCTAAACAGCTTTCTACAAAGCAAATCTGACGTGTGCGTTTTTACAGGGATAGCTGCTATGGTCTCTCCGTGTTGTCACTTGACATTGTGACGTCAGAGTCACGTGACTTCCTAATGTCTTCTGACGTCGCAATTTCACTTGACATCGTGGTGTCACATGATGTTTCCAAGATAACGCCCAACCTTAGTGCCTACAATTATCACGAAGTTTATAAAAACAAAAATGTCAAAATCATTGCGAGCTCGTTCTACCTGATCGCCATAAGTTTTCCCCCAAAGCCAAGGTCACACTGCTTGTGCATCATACAGAAGACAGTCCGCAAACAGATTCAAACTCGAGTCACCACGAGATCTGAGCTTTAAATGCCGCAAGGTAACGAGTTCAAGGAGACACTCGGCACGCGGCATTTGAACCATGGATATCGTGGTGACTGATATCTGCAGACTGCCTTGTGTATAAGCAGTGTGATCCCGGCTTACAGGGGTACGGAAACCAAATTCTGGAGCTCATTTCTTTGTTTCAACACGACGCAGGTAGCAGCACAACCACAGAAACATAAATATTGCGCTAGAAAACGCAAGAAAACATATTTTAAAGTGAATTAAACGATAATCAAAAACCACCTGGTAGTTGGTTATGAAGCTTCAATGGAATGTCGTGACGACAACATGCCTCTGAAAACAGCGCCACAGCGGTATGTCCGCTCACTGGTATAGATTGCCTAGGCCTGAACGCAATACCGAGGCGTCTTGGTGGAAAGAGCCAAAACGAAGTGAGCCACCTTGGTTTCAGCTCTCGCGCGACGTGCAAACGCGTGCTTCGGTTGTTCTCAGGTTTGGTGCGCGTGTCTTTGTCGTGAAGTTTAACACACATCATTTTTCTGCGAGGTTTTTCGGCGACTTTACGACGGGATGCCAAAATATTGTGCGGCAGAGGGTTGTGGGAACAGTGTTGTTCGTTGTGAGACGTCGGCACACACGTTTCCGAAGGACGAGAACCCCTCTTACCTGTGGAGTCGTCTCGCTCGCCCGTCCTTTCCAACGTGGATTCCCTCGAAAAGTGATCGTCTATGCAGCGAGCATTTTCGGGATGAGGACTACATCAGGAGCCCCAGTGCCCTCCGGTATGTATGGGCCACTAACTGAACCTCTGCCATATTGCAATATCTGTCCTAGAACAACTGTTTGAACATGTGCCCAAATTGCGTGCCTTGATGCCCCCGTGAACACCCATACAATGCTTTGATGGTATCAACGGTTCCCAGGTGATTTTATAGTTCCTTCTTTCTTTTCTCTTTAGGGAACTCCAGTGCGGCAACTAGCACAAGGCCGTATTTGGCATCAGCAGCAGCGTGTTGCAAGACACGGTGTGCACTGACACAGACGACGGGCATCTACAAAAATAAAGGTGGGGTCATATGCTGGAACTTGTTTTGGTTGGTATGAGAATGCCTTAAAGGAGATTACTTTACATGGGAACCTTATGTTTGTGTTTATGGCATTGCATGATGTCAGAAGGCCACGTGACATCATTGTCATATGACAACATGGTGTCATGTGACGCCTCAGTGCGACGGTCACAATTTACCGAGTTCATTTTTTTCACAAACTTCAGATAGAAAGTGCTGTTTGTTAAACACTCCATCAAGTGTTGTCACACACTTACTGCTTTTGATGGAATGTCTAAGCCAGATGATTTTTAAATGCATATCAAAAAATATTTACCATGAAAGTTATATAGATTGGCGGAAGCCAAGATACCTGTTGACTTATACATGAAGATATTACTTGAGCAATTCTAGAGATGTACTTCTAGAATTCATGGGATGTCATGAGAGTTTCTTTATTAGAAGCTTTGGCACAATTTCTGAAGTGTTCCAAGTAGCCGCCAATCCAATATTAAATTCAAATATGTGCATTTTATTGTGTAAAGGCATGTTTCTAGAGCTCCACACTGTTCACCAGTTACCCAGGCATGCATCAAACCGCCGTCAAGGACCCGGTTCATGCAGACGGATGTTTCGGGGACGATGGTCTGGTGTTCTTCACCGTCTCACGGAGACGATGCGCTCGACACTGATCTGGATCTCTCAGATCTGTGTCCACCAAGAGCAGAAGCGGATTCCAGCTACTGTCTGTCAGAGGACAGCTTTGCTAGGTTTGTATGCTCTTGAGCAATAACTGACCGCATCTTCATTCTTGACTGAGCCACTTGTTGAGATGATGTTTGTTTTTGCAACATAGCCCCGAGAAGGAAGCTCCGTCTTTGGTGCATGAGCGGAAGTTCATCGTCTTCGAGTCATGCCTGGACCAGCTACTGGAGACGTGTCGCTCCTGTGCTGCCCCCAACACTCACATCGACAAGACCGTCCAGGGCTCAAGCCTTCAGGTGTCTACGCTCTGTCGGAGCGGTCATACAGAGACGTGGTGCAGCCAACCTGTCATCAGGCGGAAGCCAGTTGGCAACATCCTGGTGGCTGCTGCAATCCTCTTCACGGGCTGCAGCATCAAGAAGGCCCTGCGGATGCTCAGTAGCATGGGCATCGCCTGTTTCTGCTACAAGACCTTCTTTATTATTCAGAAGGCCTTTCTGCTCCCGGCAATCGAGAAGGTATATTGTTATATGAAAACCTTTCTCATCTGGTAGTTTTACCAGTTGTGGATATTAAATATTGACTGGTGACAAAAGCATGACTTATTAGTCTTCCAATTTCACTAACACCCTCTTTAACATGCCCCCCCCCCCCTATCATTACAATGTTACATGCAACTTTCCCCCTGTTGAGAATAGTGCTGCAGGTTACCATGTGCCAACCCCTCTAGCAGAGATGTCATTTTTTCCTTTACCTTTTCTGCAGATTCTGCATTGCCATTTTTCTTATCGGTGACATGGGAGTATTCCAGTGCATAAGTTGTCCGGTATCCAGACTGTACTAGAAAATCGAGGTCTTATCACATGTGATGATTTTTTTTTTAGAAAGTTGAGTTTTGCTGTGAATCGTTCCATGAAGTTAGTACAAATGTGTTTCCAGGTGCCTTTCTGTTCCTGACTGAGCAAAACGTGAAAATTAGTAAAATTTTCTGCAACAATTGGTGATCAAGTATTTGTTGGTAACAGACATGGGAAGCGCACTTGAACCGAGGTAATGGGAGGACTTGCAGCAGAACCAGACTCAGTGAGAAAGGTCAAGATGTGTTGCAAGAAGTATATTTTTCAGTACAATACGGAAACGGACCATCTTGTATATTCGACCTACATCACCCTGTTCTGGTTTTGTGTTGTATAATAAATGTGTGTTGATTCCAGGCCGTTTTTGTCTAGCCACATCAGTTATAGCATGATGTAAAGGAGTTCTTTATATGGCAGATACCTTTTATTTCTTGAAACCGACATAACTTCCATCAGTGGATGGGAACTCTCGTCGAATTCTTTGCACGGCGCAGCTGGGCAGTGGCACCCGGTTACCGCGCCCCAGCTTATGGTGAACCCACCAAGTGAATTGCCGGTAGGCAGTGTAGCGGTGCCTCCTAAAATGAGATGATTGCATGAAGTACCAGTCAGTTGCCAGTTCAAGAGAATATAATAGAACCTAACGGCAATTTACAAAACTTTTCTCAATATCTAGTTACATGGTAGCAATATTGATAATGCAGGAAGAAGCATACCTTTGTATTTTTTATTACTTGTCATCACCGAGGTCAATCAGTCATTGGCATTTATAAAAATTTACTTCTCGTTACGCAATTTTGTTATTTTTTTCCTTGAGATATCGCACCCAACCATGCTGCAATGATGACCTGTATATGTACCAGTTGCTATCTGTATTATCTGAAATGCTATGAATACAGCGATGGACGAGCTTGAAAGCAAATTTTATTGAGTAGTAAACTCTTCATAGATTGTGCATGTTTACACATGCGTTTTATTTGGTGACAACTATTTTCTGCCATGTTGCAAAAGGTAGAGTAGCTGCGATAGTGCTTTAACTGTCAAAGCTAGTTGTGCGATAGCATTTGATTGAGAATAAACACAAAGCCATGTGCTTTTGCAGCAGTGTGTAGCCGAAGCACGGTGGAAGCTACATTTGCCTCGACAATGCAGCACAAAACAGGTGATGCCGAGTACAGTGCAGGCAACACAAGTTACAGAACTCTTCTATGGTGGTTTATCCTTCTATCTTACAAATCCAGAAAAAAATGGAGCATAAGAAAACTGGAATCATGGAATGTTGATTTCTGAAGGAGAGGCAGTATCAAGTGAGAAAATCATCTTGCTTACATCATGACTTCTGCTAGAATTACAATATACATACTCTTGTGGGCCCCTGTCTCCTGCATCAAGAGGGCAGAAGTACCGGAGCTTGAGGTACTCTAGGTCCAAGATGTCGGTGTTTAGGCAATACAGCTCGAACAAGGGGTGCTTTGTTACACAAGGCACCCCCTGGTCACTGCACATACGCACCACATTGTGCAACTCCCTGCAGCACACCGACTCCTCGACTGTCTGCATTGGTCTGCAGACGCTGCCACAGGAGCACCTGTTAGTACAAAGAGATTTGTTTTTCTATTTATTCACCCTTAATATTCTCGAGACCTACAAAGTGTGTGGTATGTACAAATATGTTCGTGAAAAAGTACTAAATTCGCACAACCTTCACAACGTGTGTTCTTTACATCTTTGGTTTGCAAGCACTCACAGTAGATTACATTCCTTCAGGGAAGATTAGTAGCCGAGCATGTTGAACGGAACATGAAATCGCAGAACCAGCTGGGGATGCTGGGCTCTGTCCATCCCTCTCCTGTTCGATCTCGATGAGCATCGTACCGCCGTGTACCGTTACTACATGACATATTGCACTGACGCAATGTCTCGGCTACAGTGTGAAGCACTGTTGCTGCACTACGGCAGGCAGTCTTCAGCGATAAGTGTGAGCGAAGATGCTACCAGAGCGAGCGCGATGCTTTGAGCGGGACCGCTGCGCACGCGCGAAGGGGAAACGTCGTGCAAAACCACCTCGGGCTTGTAGCATGGTAGCACTGGTTACGTACGCACTTGCGGCGGAGCACCCGGGCAGATTGTGTTGCTACATCACGAAAATAAAAAGCGCGAAAGACGAGGACAAGTGGAAGACTACACAGGACAAGGGTTTGTCCTGTCTAGTCTTCCACTTCTCCTTGTTTTTCGCGCTTTTTTATTTTTGTGATGTTTACCCAACTAGGCCAACAAATTATTTCGCTAAAGATGTTGCCTGCACGATCCAGCCCACGCGCGGGGAAAGCTCTTTCGAAGGCCACACGCGCTTTTTGGTTCGAAACTTGCGTTTTTATACATCTTTCAGTCCTTCCATAAAAGCGTTTCGCGGCACATTCATTGCCGTGTTCGTGCGTACGTAAACTTTTGGATAGCCGCCGTTGCAAGCGTACTTTTGCTACTGATCTTTGTTAACGCGAGCGCTCCTTCGACAAAACCACGTTTCGCAAGCTTACCAACAGAAGTTACACGCTAATACAACGACCTGGTTTAGACAGCGTAATTTCATCATTCATGACAGCGCGGCTAGCACGCTGTCATTAAATCGTCTCGCTGCTTTATTAGACGTGCGCGCGCGAATGCATTCGCGGACTCTTCTGTGACTAGGCTCACCTAGTGTGCCTCAATGTCCTTCTGTTTAGAGTGATGCCACCCTTTGCAGTACCCGATGCCGACAGCACGCGCTCACGGGTAAAATACAAAGAAATCGACGAAAACAAAATGTCGCCGGAGCACAGTCAGCGCCACGAGCGCGTGCAGGGACACGTTCTTTCACGCGCTTCTGAACAAAAAGTAAAAATAAAAGTGTGAGACAAAATGGCCAGATGTCTCCACCCTAAGCAAAGCGCACATGAAGGCACCCTAGGCTCACCAATTCGCCGTGCCGACGCGCCGGGCTGCTGGTGGATGTGGGCTGCCTGGCCAGCCTGGCGTTTCCGGAGAGTCGGACGACTCCTCGTCTGTAGCGGACGACGATGCCGAAGGATCGTACAGATATGGCTCTAAGCCGAATCGCTTTTCCCCCACCATATATCCACTAGCGATCTGTTGACGTCTTCGTCTTCGCTAATGTCATCGTACCCACTGCCGCTGCCACCACTCTCGTCATGTAGACACGCCATCGCACACTCAAGGCAGTTGAAGCAGCTCTGACACCTCCGCCCCTCCGCGCCTCTGCTGCCTCTGCTGGCCCCGCGATCTCTACAGCCCTTGGGTACTTCGACAAAGCGAGATATTAACGCGTTGACGCCTCCAAGTGGCAAAACTCGTCACTACGGTACGCTTGGTCGTCCGAGGCATGATGACGTCAAGACGTCTGCCGGATCTCCCGAGATGCATCGCGCTCCTCCATGGCTGATTTTGAAGCGCTCGCCAAAATCGCGGCATTTAGAGCATAAAATATAGCCATCTGCTCAAAATACGACCGTGCGATTATTCATTACAGGCTTAGCTGATCATATTGAACTCATTTCTTGATGTTTTCTCTATATTTCAAGTTTCGATTCCGTATTCCTTTAAAGGTACTTCTAGTAGAAGCAAACACCGCAATACGACCCGGAAAAATGGCGTAATAAATATTAAAACTATTAAAAGGACAACACAGACTTCGTTATATAGTACCAAATCTCGTGCTCAGGCTCTAGGAGCTGCGCCAAACAACGTGCGAAGATTTAAACAAAAAATTCAGCATGATTATTTTTATTTAGGGAAATCCGAACTTCTTATGTACGGAGCTAATTTTTTTCTGAAATTTTATACGTGCTAAGACTGCAATGAAATACATCAAAAGGCGCGCTTGTGGCGCTAGCCGCAACATGTCCGATGAATATCTCAAATTAAATAATTAAATTAGCATCAAAAATTGTCTATCTACGTGAGCAGCTGTTCACCGTTCAACCACAATGCACAAAAATTTGTAAGTATAAGTTGCAGTAACTCGATGTAACAAGACTTGTTCTTGAACTCGTCTGCCTCGCGCCATGCTGTCGATGACTGGGTTGGGAGCCCCTCCCCGCGGATAGACACCGCCTCCTTCTCTTTTTCCGATTACGCCCTCTCCGCATAATGGAACGGCCGGAGAAGCGTTCGCGCCGTTCGCTCGGTTCGCGCGCTTTAGGATCTCGGAGGCCATGCCAAGAGCATGGCCTCCGCGCGCGCGCGCTTCGGGATCTCGGAGGCCATGCCAAGAGAGACTAACTTCAAATGTACCCACTAGATGGCAGCACCTCCCGGTACTTGTATTTTCTTTATGGCGCGAATTTTCAAACAAATGTTCCGCTTTCATCGGGGTCTGATGTTGCCAAAAGGGGACCCTTGTTTGAAGCGGGAGCCTTCTTGGCAAATGATTCGACGTAGCGTCTCAGCCTTTTTGTACACAAGCGCTGTCGACTAATGAGAAATCTACGTTCGGGCAATTTATTCGTAAGAACTTCACTACTGACGGATTCGTGACCTCGATGCGGCATTGCGAACACGGGTTGTTCCACTGATCTCTATGACAATTGCTGGATCGCGCTTCCCCGCTTGTTCGCTGCAGCGCAAGTGAAGCCACCGGACTTCACTCGCTTGGGATACGATTTGCCGTTTTTGCTAGCCTTTGCTGCGGTTTTCCAGCGTGCTGTGGACACGTTTTCTACTCGTTCGTCGTCATTCGCCGAAGAAGTTTTTTGAAGACTCTGTGTATTGTTGAGACTTGCCGTTGTGAACACGTGGAAAATTTTACGAAAGTGCAGTGTCGCAGGAAAAGGCACAACGCGTCGAAAGGAAGGGCTGGCGGCGTGTTCAAAGCTTCCTTGGCACGCCGAAGTGCCGTGTCTCTGTGCCTTCGCACGCTTGGATACCGACCAAGAACCGACGCCGTGTGTATGTGTCTAGCGAGTGCAATGTGCGTGAAGCTGTTCGTGCCTCTGGATCAGCGTCTTTTCCCCTCGCGGTTTAGGAACGAGCTTAATTCAGCGTCCCCTAGCGACGGAAGGTGGGGGGAAGGTACGTCTTTTTTTCGTCCTTAGACGATTTACACAATACCGTGCACAACAGCTCCTCATCACTGATCAGTGCTGGCTTATTATCAGCCTACTTAATTGCACTTGACGTTTGAGCGCGGCTCGCCTAATTGTAATTGGTCAGCAGATTGCACACGACCATATCGGCCGCACTTCAAAGATTTTCATTCTCGCCGTCTTGTACTTTTGCTTTCGAAAACCCCCCTGGCTCCACAACGTTGCCCTATTCGTGCTCCCACGGAATCTATTAGAGTAGATTTGGGACATAGCCATGGTTAATATATAGTACATAAGAACACGTACAGATCTCTCCCTTTTATTGATAGCAACTCACCGGAACAGCTGGACGATCCAGAACTCCGTGGCCGATATATATAAATGATCTAAAGGCTCCTACGCGCGACACACGTTCAGAACTTTGGCGCGGCGTCAATTCTTGACCGGTATCCAAGCGTGCGAAGGCACAAAGATGCATCACTCGGCGTGCCAAGGAAGCTTTGATCACGCCGCGACACCGGCGACACTTGTTTTCGACGAGTTGTACCTTTTGATACGGCTTCACGCACATTGCACTCGCAAAACACATCCACACGGCGTCGATTCTTGGTCGGTATCCAAGCGTGCGAAGGCACAGAGACACGGCACTTCGGCGTGCCAAGGAAGCTTTGAACACGCCGCCAGCCCTTCCTTTCGACGCGTTGTGCCTTTTTCCTGCGACACTGCACTTTCGTAAAATGTTCCACGTGTTCACGACGGCAAGTCTCAACAATACACAGAGTCTTCAAAAAACTTCTTCGGCGAATGACGACGAACGAGTAGAAAACGTGTCCACAGCACGCTGGAAAACCGCAGCAAAGGCTAGCAAAAATGGCAAATCGTATCCCAAGCGAGTGAAGTCCGGTGGCTTCACTTGCGGGAGCGGCAAGCGCGATCCAGCAATTGTCATTGAGATCAGTGGGTTGTTCTTTGCTCGACTCACATAAAGAGCGGAGGAAAGCCAAAAGAAAGATGTCTTCAATTTTATAAATTTGACTAGGTGGCGCAAGTAAACGTCAGATTCAAAAAGCGGAGCTCAAAACAATTTATTCGGCTACCCTTCCAAGATTAAAACTTCAAGCCTCCTCGATAGATGGCAGCACCTTCTGGAATGAGCATATCTCTATCTTGTGAAAAAACGGATATACTCCACCGGTGAATTGATCGGACGGTAATCTCCGCCATCTCTCTTTTATGTATAAAACAATACCGCGTTCAATGAGGCATCTTAATCATTTTAATTTCCAGAAGAGTTCCTTCAGACGCGTTTATTTCGACGTGTCCTTTTCTTTGTATGCGTATTTTTTCGGTACAGAGGCCGGGCAAACTTCGATTTTGAATGCATGGGACTCATTTTGCAGACAAACCGGGAGAGCTTGCTGTAACGTCGCAGGGAAACTGTCGAACATCTGCCATTGCAAAGGGGGGATAGGTGGCCGCGTGGGCTAGCGCACACCGGGCGGCGGAGAAAATTTCACCAGATAAAAGCTCACCGGAGAAAGGCTCACCGCAAAACCAGCAGATGCGGCAAAAAGCTCACCGAAATTTTTATTTTTTTTAGCTTAGCGGATTGTGCTAAGCTAAGAACCACACGTGGCAATTCAAAAAGATAATTCTTTTTTTTATTATTCTTGAAGTTTATTCCGCATATTTACTAATTCCTCGGGAATTAGTAATCACCCATTCTGTCTATTAATCACGCCGCAAGTATGAAGTCAAAGCATGGGGCACCCTTAAAAAAAGAAAACAATTTATTGACAGCTTGACAGTGCGCCGTCGGTAGCTCTGTCAGATAAAGAGGTTCGTTTTTCGCAAGCTAATATAAATAGCGGTGTGTGAACAGTTTCAGTTCCGAAGATTGTGTGGTGCCTGATAGACGAGTAGGTGTTTGTTGATGTGATCAGTGTCGGCTAGGTTGTTTTCTTTTTTCTTTCACTAATAAAACTTTAATTGCGAGAACAGCTTCGTCCTGGCGCGTCCCTTGTCTTCAATTCGCCCTCGTCATTTGAGCTGTTTTCATGATGTATAACGTTTACCAACTCGCCTAATTCGCTACCTTACAGAAGGGTGACTGATCAGCTATGAAGGTCACGAGTGGTTCGCTTCAGTAGTGCACTATCACACGAAGGCAACGCGTGAAAAAACCAGCACGAACGGCTAGAAAACGTGCATACTGACCGTTCTATCCCGTTTTCAAAGGTTAACAAAAGCTCCAAAGAGAATTTCAGGCACCGTGTTGTTGCGCACGCACTTTCGGGTTTTCGGCATTTAGTTTTGCTTTTTAGATTTTAAACAGACATTAAGTTTTTTTTTACTTTTTCCTGTTCAAGTTTATGAAGTTTTCAGTTAGGCTTTCGTTTCGTGTAGAGCAAACCACGGAAACAGTCGCCCGTAATCATTCATTTGGGAGCAATATGCCCAATAAGCTTAACAAGTATTACAAAAATAACATTTTCCTTTTACGAAACTGAACAATTTTCATGATAATAAATTGATGTAGGTTACCCATGATACGACAGCCAGAAAAAAAAATGGTGAGCTTTTCTCTGCATCCGCCGGTTCTGCGACGAGTTTTTCACGGTGAGCTTTTCCACGGGATTCGCGCACACCACTGGGAGGACGTGGAGCGAAAGCTCACTCTGCAGAAAGCAGGATTCAATTCCACCCCCCCCCCCCCTTTTTCGATTTGGATGAGCATCGTACCGGCGTACGGTCGTGAATCACTACTGCGTGGTGCACGTTACCGCACTGGCTAAATTGCTCATCTCCAGCCGAGACACCAGACGCCTACTAAGACAGACTAACTTCCCGCTGAATAAGCATACTCCAATTTTATTTTTATTCTGGTCTAAACCGTTCTAATAAAGACCTAAAGCATAGAGCTATACTAACCAAAGGTGTCAACCTTTGGCTAGTATAGCCAAAGGTTGACACCGTGCATACGCGACGAATTACAGTAGCACCACTGCAGCACCGATCGGTCGCATATTCTCCTTTATATCGATGGTAACTGTACAGAGATTGATAGCACGCCTAAATATTTGTCAAGTCTGAAGGTCGATTCAATTACACTTCAGAAAAAATTTGCAGAGATAGGGCGCCCCTAAAAAGGTCGGCAGGAAAATTTTTGCTGCAGACAATGCATGCTTACCAAAAAAAAGAACATGTCAAATTGAATATTTCGCCAATAATTTGAGCAACCTCGACCGTGTCAAGGCCCAGATGGCATTCACCACTCGTCAATGCTGTGGTTCTTTTTGATTAAGAGAACAAAGTGTCCGAGCTTGGTTGAAGCTAATGGGAGTAAACTTTCTGTGCTGGGGCCTGGACCTGGTGGTATGGGGGCGGGCGCGTCCTGGTTCGGATGGTGACGACCGATGACGGTGCTCGCCCGATGACAGCCCCCGGGAAGTTGATGATAAAAATAATACTAAACTAAAAGATGTTCGATCCCGCTGAACACATTGCGACGTTGGTTGACTTTACAATGGCCAGTGTGGCCACGTTTGTTATGAAGCAAAACAACTCAACACTGAGTTAAAATCCCAAAATTAAACGCCGTACTTTTGTTCCCAGTCTCCCAAAATCGAATCGAAGCCAATCCTCTAGAATCCTCTCAGGGACCCTTTTGTAGACTCGTAGGGGCCTCCTTTCCCCTCAGGGACCGACCAATCCCTTCAAATTTCACCACTCCCACGTGGTACACTGTTCTCCAACGGTCGGCAAGCTGTCCGTCTGGCACTCTAACCACCAAATCCAAATTCTTTCTAGAGTCAACCCCTGCATTTTACGCAGACGGGCTGGCGCCAACAGCTAAATTATTACATCAGGTAAAAAGCGACAATTTGATACTAAGTGGCAAAACCCTCTATATACAGGCACATTCGGCTAAAAGCTACACGCTCCTCCAGGCGGGGGCTCTCCCGGTCCCGGTCCGAGCCGACTCCCGAAACCCGAAACGCTTCTTAACGACCGCAAGGGGAACCGCTCCCGCACTGCGGCCGCTCTGGCCCCGCCAACACAAACATAGAAAGCTAAAAAGAAACAATGCCGAAACAACTCTGGGAAGATAAACTTTCCTAACAAAAATCACCTTAACTAATAAGCAGGATTTCTACAAACTTAACAGGAGTGTTTTAGCAAAGCATGCTTGTTTCCCATAGGTCCACACCACCACTCTCGTGCAACACGAAGTTGTGTTTTAATGCACCACTATAAGGCAGGAAGCCCTTGACACTGTGATAGTATAGAGTGCTTACACAGCCACTACTGAAGCAAAGATGGGAATTACTCTACGAACAGCTTTGCAATTATGCAGCTAAAAGCCACAGAGCACTAGATCACAGATCTTGCTGGTTGGTCGTTCTTGTTGAGGATGATCCGTGACTCCCTCCAAACAGCTAGCATGTGATGGTGGCTGACATGGGTGTTGAAAACAGCTTTGAGAAAAAAAGGCATCACCGTCCACAAGTTTTGGCAAGTCAGGTGGTCTAGCTGGCTGCAGGTGAGCTAACTTGCAACACGCATTGAAAGGCACACTGCTGTTGCTCTTGTCACCAACACTGACACCTCACAGGGGCACCACTTTCAAAATTGTGGCAAAGAGTTCAAAGGCACGCTGCTACTGTTAGTGTTGTCGATGCTGGCACTTCACAGGTTCATGCAGCTTTCAACACTAAGAAGGCATTGGAAGGCACACTGTTTCTGCCGTTGTTGTCAGTGCTGGCACCTCACGGTCAGTTGACAGGAGCACCTACTCCAACACTGCAAATGGGGCCTTGACACAGTGTTCATGGCACAGCACATCATCCGCACAATTCTGCTGATGATGGAGTTATGGCTTGCCACAGGTCACAGAGATTAATCCCCAGAACAGCTTCGAGGACATCTCTTCAGTTAGAATGCATCCTTGGAACCAGCATCCTGTTCAGAATGAGCAAATAGCACGGAATAAGACTCCAACATTTCAATCGCGCCACACTTTATCACAACATATCACTGGCGACGCACTGATCTCAGTCGCATAAAATTTGCCCAGCACGCAGGGGTACCTTCGAAAGACACCATTGAAGTATTAGGATTGCGATTCTTTCTTTGGATTCATTCATTTCCCCCCGTGAGGGGGGTGGGCCGATCCCGGAGGCAGTGCAATACCGGGCCAACCCGTGGCATAGGTGAGGTAAACCTCAAGCACTACGCCGCATTCCAAAAATAAGATTAATATCTTGGGTCCAAATAGGACCCGTATCAGATATTAAGCTGATAAGAACAGATTTTTATTCATGTTTTTGGGTTTTTCATACAATGATACCACACAGGATGATGGTGTTTACAGGACGTTGTGATCATGCATTCACTCATACAAAGCTAAGTAAAAAAAAAGGAGTTACACCATCATCAGCCTTATCTATGATTACAATGACGAAATACACAAGAAATTAAACAATCACTATAAGAAAAAAAAAAAAAAGGAAATGGGGTCATGCACTACATTATACAATACTACTTGTCTTCTTATATCTAAACAATACTATGGGCAAAAAAAAATTAAAGAAAAGTGCCTTAATTAACATGCATCTTCTTTCTTCTTCCTGCTTCGCTCCTGGTTCCGGTCATCGCGTGGGTCCTGCGATGTGGACCGCGTAGATGTCCCTGGAGGCCCGGATGGTGTCGCTAGCGGCCATCTGCTTCATCCTCTTGAGGTAGGACCTGGAACAGAGCTTTTTGAGGAAGCGATCGTTGGCAGGGTCCCAGCTGCCCAGGGCCCCAACAACCACCGCCTCCACTGTAACCCGTTGGTACCGCCGCCGCAGGTGGTCGATCACGGGGCGGTACTTCTCTTCTTTGGTCCTCCTCGCCTGGACCAGGGCCTCCTTCCGGTTTTCGAAGGGTATGCAGACGTCCACCACCACTGCCTCCTCGCCACGCACCAGCACCAGGTCAGGTCGGAGCTGCGTGTCCCCCACCGCTGCGTTCTCTGAAACGAGAGTGAAGCGGCCAGCACTTGCCTTCTTGACACGCTCGACGACATTGTTGTGGCGCTGGGTGATGGCCTGGGACTGCCGCATGCAGTGGTTGAGTACGTGCGGCAGGGTCTCGCTGGCGAAGCCACAACGCCTGCACCGTTGGTCGCTGCCACGCTTCCATGGTTGGGCGCCGTTAAGGGGGAGCAGGTTGAGACGAGCCCTGTGAATAAAACGCCAGTCTGCAAAGCGGGTGTACAAACCCGTCCGGATGAAGTGGGAGCCTGCAGGGTCGGCGGCGACGCACTCCATTACCTTCCCCTGGTTGGGCAGGGCGTGGAGCCTGGCATCTTTCAGCTGGGCTAGCTGGAATCGGAGAGAATGCATCACCTTCGATCGCCCTCGAGGGGTGATTACTTGGCTCCCGACTGTGATGCTTGCTCCCTCCGGTCCCAGCTCCCAGGCTACGTTGAGTCGCCCCGACGCCTTCCTCCCTTCCGTCCAGACGCTTCGCAGCTGCGTTGCGGGCATCCGGAAATCTCCCTCGTTGTGGCCCGACAGGTAGAGCTCCGCGTCGGGCAGGTCGCAGTCTCGCCGCAGCCTCGCCTTCACAATGCCCATCAGATCGTCCAGAGCCATCCGGGCAACCTCCGGGTCACGCGAGGTCAGCAGCTTGAACACAGAGTCCACCCGGCAGACGTCGCTCGTCTCTGCCGCGCAGGGGATCCCGCAGGCCCCGGCTCTGCTGCTGCCGTAGATGTAGTCATTTGATGCTCCAGGAGGTAGGTACAAAGTACGCTTGATCAGTGGCCGGAGTGCCTCGTCCAGTCTGGCCCACTCAGTCTTGCCGACGGTCCCCGTCCTCATCAGGTGGTGGAGCGCCGGGTAGAGGAACGTCTTGATGGCATCGAGCCTTTGCCATGGGGCCAGCATGGAGCCTAGGATCCTGGTGCCCAGTTGGATGGCTGCGTCCACGTCCGATCCGTCTTGCAGGATGTTGAACCCGACTGGCCTGCCGAGGTAGGCGAAGGCCTCGAAGTCCCTGATGACAGGGATGGGGGTGCCATTCACAAGGAATTGGCTGCCCCTGAGTCCCACAGGCGAGCAGCCGCTCAAGTGCAGACTGCGACACTTGGCAGCGTTGAGGGATAGGCCCAGCCGCCCAGCTTCCTCCTCGATCAGGTTGATGCTCGCCTGCAGACTCGCCGGGTCCCGAGCCAAGGGGGTCAGGTCGTCCGCGTATGCGAGTATGCAGTGGTCCGCAGTTGTGCCCTGCACCTTCCGGATGACGGGGTCCACGACCAGATTGAAAAGCAATCCACTCAATGGACAGCCCTGTCGTATGCCGCAGCGCATTGGGATGGGATCCGTGCAGCCGTCGTTGGTCACAACGCTGCTGCTGCTCTCGTAGTACATGTCCTGGACCAGCTCTGCGAAGGTCTCGCCTGCACCCACTCCGCGCACCGCATCCACGATGGCATTGTGGGGGACGCAACCAAACGCATTGCTGAAATCCAGGAATGCCGCGCAGAGATCCCCGCTGGTGGTCCGTGCCTCGTCCATGCGCCTCTGCAGTACGTAGTTATGCTCAAACACACCATCGTACGGCAGAAATCCCTTCTGCGTCCTGCTCAGGACATCGTGCTCCAGCAGCCACGCCTGCAGACGGGCCGCCAGGACTCCCGAGAACAGTTTGCTGGCCGTTCTCAGCAGCGAGATCGGACGCCAACTGGTGATCTCGGCTGGGTCACCCTTCTTGGGGACTAGGATTGTGCGGGACTGCCGCCACGAATCCGGGATGGCCCTGTACTGGAGGCAGATGTTAAATGCCGCTGCGAGGAAACGACAACCGGGATCAACAGCTAACCAATGGTGGTAGGTCAGCCTGTCGTCCCCGGGTGCCGTGTTCTCGCAGCGACGGGCCTTTGACAGTACCTCATGCTCTGTCATTGGGTCGAGCGGCAGCTCGTCGCCAGCCGGCTCCCGCTCCACGAGGAGGCTCGTGTCTGCCCGGCGGAGCTCCCAAACCCCGCGGAAGTGGGCTTCCACCTCTGCCGATGGTATGGCGCACCGGGGTGACTGGCCATCGGTTATCAGCCGGACGGCCTGTCTCCTGTTCCTCCGGTATAGTCGTTGGATGGCTCGGGGATCCTCGGGGTTGATGGGGCGCCGGGGGCCATCCTGCCTGGTTTGGTCTGGGAGCTTTACACTCCTGGCGGCCACCTCTGTTGCCTCCGCCAGAATCATCTGGAACCTACACCAGGATTCCGGGGTCTCTGGTAGTGACTGCAGGTGGAGAACTGCAGTTAGGTGGACTGCCAGTGGGTAGTCGTCCTCTCCTGGGCCGGGGTCCGCTGATGCCGCTGGTTGTGGGGTGTCGTCAGGCGGACGTGCAGCGGCACCGTGCTCTGTGGGGTCCCGGTCAGTGGTCACTTGGGTTGCGTAGCTGCTCTCTGGCTGGGCCCTCGGTGCATTTAGCGGTGGCAGCTCCCGCCGAGTCTCGTCAGTTGTGGTGTCAACAGCGTCACCAACGCTGCCAGAAAAAGTAGTCTCATCAGTTGTGGAGTTGGCGGCGGCACCAACGCTGCCTGAAAGAGTACACTCGTCAATTATGGGGTTGGCCGAGTCACCAACGCTGCCTGAAAGGGCACTGTTGGAGCCGCCCTCGTCTGGTGCTGGTTCTGCCGTGGGGAAGGATCCCTCGGGCTCCCCTGGGGCATGATCCTGTGGTGGCTCTGGGCTCACCAAGTCGCCCGGCAGCTCCACTGGGTCAGGCTCTCGTGACGGCTCCGGGCGAGTCGCGCTGCTCGTTCGTGCCACTGGTGTGCTCGTGCCGGCAGCGGGGAGAGTGCTCACCCGTGCCATCCTAGCCGTGTCTCGGCGGTGGCGCTTTTTGTGGTTGTCGAGGCCCTTTCGCGAGGGAAAAGCCTCCTCACATTCGTCGCACCTGTGATGCTGGGCCGCCGCCAGCGGCTGCTGTGAGCGGACGGCACCTGCGATGCACCTGTGCGATGTGGGCCTCATTCCCAGTACCCTTCTGCAGATGGAGCACACATTCTGTGTGGCCTTGATCATTATTCTGTGCTCCTGCTCCAGGTGTCTCTGCAGCGACTGGCGCTGCGACGTCCAAGACGTCGAGGAGTATGCAGCTTTGCAGCTGCCCTCCGTGCAGAAGAAGGCCTTCGGCACTGGGAACCGCACTACCAGCATGTCGCCTTCCCTTGTGGGCTGGTCCGGGCGGCTGGGGCTCTCCTGGGACGTGGGCTCCGTTGCCGCCAGCTGCGGGCTGTCCTGGGCACCGGGGAGGCTACAGGCAGACACCGTGAGCTCTGTGGCGGAAGGTGGTCGTTCCGCTCTGCAGGCTGGTGTCTCAAACGAAACACTCGGTGTTGCCATAGACTCAGCACGCCAGGAATCACCTTCATGGCGCGCCGAATCCCCCGTGTCCACCATCCTAGACTCGTTGTGGCTCGTAAGAACCGAGGTGCACTCACCCTGCGTCATGGAGGAGGGGCTCTGGCACTCACCTTGGTCCTCAAAAGAAGGACTTAGGGGGCCGGGGTCCCCTCCGGGGCACCGGTTCCCCGACTCCTCAATAGAAGAAGCCAGGAAGCCGGTTGCCCCTCTTGGACCGTGGTCCAAGACAGATGAGCAGCCCTGGGGGGGATGCATCATCTAGGGTGGCACCTAGGGTGACAGGACCAGCATGTTCACCCTTGTGCGTGCCAGGAAGGTTTGCCACGGGGAGCCAGAAGTCAGGACAGCCGCAGCAGGAGGGCAGGCCAGGGGGCTGTGTGGAGCCGAGTGGTTAAAGGGCCGTGTGGCGGCCGGCAGGCACCAGGCGGCAGGTCCCTGGATGCCAGGCCAACCCAAGGCCAGCAGGCAGCAAGACCAAGACCAGCCGGCAGCAAGACCAAGGCCAGCAGGCAGCAAGACCGAGGTCAGCTGGCAGCGGGACCGAGGTCAGCAGGCAGCGGGACCGAGGTCAGCAGGCAGCGGGACCGAGGTCAGCAGGCAGCGGGACCGAGGTCAGCAGGCAGCGGGAACGAGACGACGTTCCCCAATGCAGCAAACCTCACGAAGAAAGACGAAGAAAGACACCTTGATCTTAGCCAAAAGGCCGAGAAGCAATAACTCCCAATTGTGTTTTAATTTCAAGCTATTCGGGACTTGAACCCCAAGCGCACATACCACCCCGCCGAGAGGTAACCAAACGCGCATGGCTTCCCAGCGCCAGAGTGGACACCGGTACGCTTTTCCGATGTAACATCGAATCAAATACAACTCTCCGACGGTATATGATCTTGAAATGTCCTCATTAAAGCCAAATTAATACAAATATGCCCTATAGAAACGCCGTCAACGACGCACAAGAGACCTCGTCGCCATCTCTCGACTTGCCAACAAACTCAAAAGGTGTACCGCAAATTGCAGAAAATCCACATAAAACTGCGAGCAAAACAAATCAGACTGACATATGAAGCACGATAAAAATCAAATGCAACGTGCATTCAAACAAGTTCGAAATCCGGATGTTTCAAAGAGCTTCCGGCGAAACAGCGTCTGCTATCAAAAATAGCGGACGGTCGTTCACAACCCGAGAGCAGGACCGCCGAATATCACTACTTGAGGAAAGATTTAGAAACATACATCAAGAGCAAAACACGCGAATATTTAATCAAGTGAGGATGTCGGTGTTTAATAGAAAGCTCCTGCCCAATAAAAGGCAGACGCCCAACGTTCAAGCACCGTTTCATAACGATTTCATTATAACTCGTACAGGTTAGCACCGTTCGAAGACTTTCGTGCAATACACATCTGGCAAAATATGTGCACTTAGTTTGAGAACATCAAAGGTCAGTACAGCAACTGAGGAATCAATAAAAAAATTCGGAGCTTGATCGAAAAAATTTTTTGGGGATGTCCGTGAAGACGACGCAGGGAATGTCGCGGACCACGCCTATTCAAGACAGTTGTGACTTGCTTACACGAGATGGCGCCAGCGTCGTTGCGGCGCTTAAGTTCGGCGTTCATTCACCAGATGGCCCTAGTCCCCCGTTCCTAGTCGTTTTAAAAGGCTACCTTTTAAAACGCTTCAAATCGCACAAAATGAAATGTCGCGTGTAGAAAAACACAACTAAGCTTCAGCCCAAACGTCAATGAAGCTAAACGAACACGCACTCTAGGCGACGAAGGACTTACAAACGAACGAAGCGACGGTTCCCGAACACGAGCGCGCACACAAAGAACGCCAGTTCGGCACGACACGGCACCAAAACTAAAACCACGCCAAAAACTCCCGACATCTCGGAGAATCGTGCGTGAGGCAAGAAAAACGCTGGCGTTCTGAAGTTACCGGGTGCATGAAAGAACGAAGGCTGACGAACCGGCAAGGCGACAAGAACAAACGACTGTCATTAGGCCTACCTGTCATCAAGCACAGAAACGATAAGGTCCTTAAAGAGCCCAGCCGTATTTGTCAACATGAACCAGTTGACAGCCGGAAACATCTACACAGCACTGGGTTCGGGACATCTAAACCATATCACACGCATTACAGCCGTAACGAAATAAGGGTACTCACACGAGCTTCCGCAACGCAGCAAAACTGACGAAGAAAGACAAATAACGGGTATGGGCGGCGATTAAACATTAAACAACCGCAAGGAGGCGGCCGGAACTAACAAAAAAAAAAACGAAGAAGAAAAAGAAAAGCGCCAGCACGCGGAGACGTGGGCGCCTGAGTGAAGATGTTCTTTCTTTGAGATTGCGCCGGGACCCGACGACGGAGGCAGCTGATAGTCGCTGACGGAAGAGTAAACCAGACAGGACTCCGCGGATAGAAAAAAAAAAAAACACGTCTATTTACAAGCGAAGCTCATTTTCGAATGTCGCCGCAGAAGGTAACAGCACGTGCTGTCCTTGTCTTCTTCTCTTTTCAAAGCCTCCCCTGCCCCAGCTCGCACGAGCGTCGCCAGTTCACCCACACACAGGGGCGCACGTGCAAACGTCAACACGCAATGGAAAGAAAAAGAAGCTCGGTCCTGTTCCCGCGTCCACCCACGGTGATGGCGGGGCCGATTCTCACACCTCCCGACTAAGTATATTTTTTAGACCCGAAATGTCAAAAATAATATATAACAACTAAACTCAAACGTGTACACATATCAGACACACCTTACACAGAGTTTGTGACTCAACCCGTCAGAATCCAAACTATCAAAAAAAATTTACACTAAGATGCAAATCATATGTTAGTAAAGTGATTCTTACTGTGCCCGCCACGGCTCCAAAGGAGTGACAAATGTCGTGCTAAAACTCGCGTTGCATCTAGCCTCCTAGCCTCGGTCTCTTTGCTGACAAGTTATCCAAGCCATCCAGATTTCGACGGGGCTTGAATCGGATGGTGCATAGCCGGTTCCGGAACATCCCCGCGCAAGAGCAACGACAGTTTATGCTCTGTCCTGACTTACGAATCAGGAATGGGCCTCGCTGGCGGTCGTCGTTGTCGATGTCTTTTGCAATCTCAGCTCTCTCACACGTGGCCGGCTGGTAGTTGGTCGAGTTTTCATCGGCGTCCTTAGTTATATTCTGGGACGACTTCATCTCGAAGACCGCTTCCTCGTCGCTGTCCCCGCTTTCCCTGACATCTCCACCGGCCCGCTGTGACGTCAGCCGCTCTGACAAGTTGTCCGACTTCTTGTCAACACCCACGTCCTTGCCGTGGTCGTCATCAGCTTGCCAGAACGTCTGCCACCAAAGCAAAATATCAGGTTCTTTTTTGTCGTCGACGTTCACGTTCTCGTCATGGTCATCCTGCCGCCCAGGCGATAAGTTCGGTCCTTCGACGTCGTCCACGTTCTCGCCGTCGTCGTCCTCGGCTTGCCGGAACGCCCACCTCCCAGGAGATACTCTAGGTTCTTCCTTGCAATTGACGCCAATGTTCTCAACTTGGTCGTCATTGGCTTGCCGGAACTTGTGCAACCCAGCTAAGAAGTCGGGACCGGCCTTGACGTTGTCGAAGTTCACACATGGGTCGTCCTCAGATTGCCGGGACGCCTGCCGCCCAGGCAAAGTGTGGGGCCTTTCGTCGTCGACGTTCACCTGCTCGTCGTGGTCATCCTCGGCTCGCTGGGACGTCCTCCAGGCACGGGAGACATTCAGCTCATTTCTGTCGTCAACGTCCGCCTGCACAGACACGCATCTGCGATTGTTCTTTGACGACCGCTTCGTATCATCGGCCTGTAACATAGTCTGAGGCGCCTCGCGGACTGATGAGTCTGGCATCTTCTGACCTTGGTGGTCCAAGTTGTTACCGTCGGTCTTGCCCACATCGGTCGTCACCTTGTCGGGCTCACGGCTGGAGTCTTCCTCCACAGTGACATTCTCGGCGTCCACTCTTTTCTTGAGAAACAAAAGATCTCCGTCTGGTGTCTTCGTCCGGGGACATTCGCGGGAAAGGTGCCCCAATTCCTTGCATTTAAAACACTTCACCCGATAATGTTCAGGCATAATGCCCTGCCTTGGGTTCTCGTGTTTTTTCTTGAGAGAAGTGGTGGTTTCAATAAAGGGCCTCGAGACCTCAGCTCGCAACACTCCGAGCTCTAACAAGACCGATTCTTTGACCGCACCATACCCACTTCTCTCACCCATGTTCAGCCTATTCACTAGTGCACGCATGCTCTCCGTGAAATAAGGTCGCACAAGATATCCTCTGAGCCGTTCAGGGACTTCATATGTCTCGAAGACGTTTTCTACGCCATCAAACCAGCTCGGCACTAATATGTCGGACGACGGCATGGGAGTCAGCACTCCCTTCATCAATCTCGAAAAGCGAAAAACTTCATCTCGGAGGTTGAACTCCATGCCGCCTCCATTGGCTCGCCTTCGGTTTTCTGAGCGT